ATGCAAACAGGTCCTTCGTCGACCTTCCAGTCCCAGCCCCCTCTCCCAGGGCCCATGTCCCCTGTGACTCCTGTGTGCTTCTGCACATGGTGACAACCTCAGTACCCTCTGGCACAGCAACTCCAGCTCATCAACACCCTGCCCAGCAGCCGGCTCTGCCAAGAAGCCTTTCCTAACCCCCAGGCTGGGATTAGGGTTCTCCCCAGCTCCCTTTCCCCCGGCCTCACCTCCCCAGTGTGCCTCTCTCCTGGCACCACAATCACTGGTTCACTTGCTCACTTTCCCATCCTAGGCCAGTTCCTTTGGGGGCAGACACTGTGTCATGCCATGTCGATATGGTATGTAGTATATAGAACAATTTTACATCTAATAATTATTTAGTGAATAAATAGTTCTTTAGGCCCAGAAGAATGGCACCAGCTTTTTTCTGTTCTGCAAAGTTGAGGGTATAAAGAATGGTTTGGGAGGTCTGGTTGTTAATATTTGCTCTCTAGCCAATCAGCTGTGGGCCCATGCCCAAGAAAGTCAACTATTCAGTGTCACTTTCCCCCATAATTAAGGATAGGTGGGAGAAGGTGATTTTCTGTCTCTCTACCTCTCAGGAAAAAAGAGAATAAATAACAATAAAATGTGCAAGAGTTGAATAGTACTTTAAAGAAGCAAAACATGCATATTAAAGTACTAATAATATTTGAACTAAGAACTCACAAAAGAGTTATATTTTAGTTATGTGTGTGTATACATATTCTACCTTGTAATTGCTTTAATCAATCCTTGAAAACCAAAAAGAAATTTTGGTTACATTTTTAGGAATCTCATATCGCTCCAGCTGCTTTATAAAGAGATTTAATTAAATAATTATAATGGAATTGAAAGTTCTATTTATTGCATATGATAGTTTCACCAAGAATTCTATTCATATTTATAAGTGTCACAAAATGTTACACTATGTCTTGGATTATTAGGGGTCCAGTCTTAAAGTTTTACCACAGACGTTTCTTTAAAACTAGTTTTATATCTGAAGTTTGCTATTTAAATAAAAATTAAAATCTCCATATTTGGGAAATTGAAATAATGTCATTTTATCTGGAGGCTAAACAAAAGCCCTCCAAAGCAAGAGTGTTCCCTGATTTATAATAAGGACCCCATATGAACTGACCACATACTTGGAATAGCCTGGAAAAGCACTCCATGAAGAATTAGTTTTACTACTAACTATGGGGTTTTAGACAATCACTCAACCTCTATGCCTCTGTCCTTGTCCATAAAATGGGAGTATAACCTCTTCAAGTTATAACACTGTAACATTCCACAGTTCATCTGGACTGTGTTTTGCTTTGTGTTGAAGATCAAGCAGTGTGCTGCAATCACCCACAGAGCCTGTGACATCACCTCACATCACACCTCATCTCACACAGATGGCAGGAAGCTGATTCCATCAAAGAGGGCAGGAGAAATGCTTCCAGAATCCACAGACCCCCTGCCTTACAAATTACTACAGAACCATAAACAGCTGAGAAGAAACAGCTGCCAAATGCCAGCTTGGTGCCATATATAAGGCCTGGAACGGCATTCAGCAGCGGTGGTCTGGCCAGAGACAGAGATGGGGTTGCAAGCAGCCCCAGACGTCGCAGAGCTGCAGAGTCCTCCAAGAGCGACTGCTGGGCCCACATGGATCTTCGTGGCCACATCTGCCAAGTACCACATCACTGTTTATAAAGTCATATTTTAAAGAGTGGCGCTACTAGCAGAATCCTAGAATTAGCAGAGATAATTTTAATGTGGATTCATATTTATCAACAGTCAATGCATAATATCCTTTTCCATATTTAAGAAAATGGAACAAACATAAATAGCATCCAACTACCCAAAAATGGGAGATCTGATTTAATAAATTGATAAATCTATACAATAGAATACTACATACCTATTAAAATACTTACATAGATATATTTGCATTTATTGTTATAGAAAGATACATATAATATAATATATAATATATAATATATAATATAATAATATATATGGGTGTTCCACTCTTTTCACCACCATAGTCTCCCTTGCACTTAAAATAGTGATTGTCTAGCACACAGTAGGTGCTTACAAAAATTAGCTAAAAAAGTGAATGAAAGACATTGTCACAAGGAGGAAGCAAATGAAAAGTACATGCCTCATACTTGTTATACAGTAGGATTTATGGGGTAATTTTACTTTTCCTCAGGAGCAGATACTATTGTTAAAATACTTTTTAAACTGTGAGCATGTACTACCTTATAATTGGAAAATAAAGTTATTGCTTTTCTACTAATGGGAATATTTGACATAAATATGAAAAATGGGTAAAACATGATTAATTAGGACAGTGGATATGAACATATCTTCCTTCGCCCCCCCCCCAAAAAAAATTCCAGCATATGAAGGGATACATACTATTTGCATTATTCTGTGGATCTTGTATTCAACTGGTTAGGATATCATATTAATAAAATCATTATTAAGAATAACCTAGCTATATTTTCCATTATGTAAGCTGGTGGTTATAGGGAAGATGAAGGGGAAAAAATTATGTCACAGCTACTATTAAGGGAGCAATCATGTTCTCTTAGATTGGGAAAGGCAGTATACACGATATCGTCAAAAGATTTTTCCCACAGCACATAAGCCCAAATGACCTTACCTATGTGGGTAACCCGTGTAGCTGAGCCCTGCCTACCCTATAACATATGCCATAAATGTGCCACCATATATGCAACCCTGGCTCAGGGACCTCTCCACCTGACCCTCCCTCGGCAGCTCCCCATCATACTGATAGGGGGAGAAAAAACAGGCTTAATTTGCTGCCCTGTCCTGGGGAACATGGACGGAGCATCACTCTTCCGTCTGTCTTTTCCTCTTTCTCCAGCTGGAATGCCTTAACTGGGATTCCTGAATTTCCTTTCTTGTCCCTTCCTATACCCTCTACACCTCAGCTAATCTCCTTGCTATTTCATGTGCAGATACTATTTTACAGACACAGACTTCCTCTTCTACTGCAGTAAGTAGAATCTTGTTTAATCAGAGTGGGAGCATTTGGAGGGGCTGGGAACAGTTTAGAAGACACATTGAGTAGTCTAAGGTCAATCAACAGGCAGCTGGGTGTGCCGATTATTTTTCTTCAGAGATTTCTTGTTTGGGTAAAGGTAAGCGCTGCTGTCTGCAATGCTTGTTAATTAAAGCCTAGGGACAGGCGTCTCCCTGGACTTTCCATAAGCATGTTAACTATCATCTTTGTTAGATGTGGTTTGCCTGCAGTCACGCAGACTCTCAGCCTAATCTAACCTCTTGCTTGCAGGAAGCTTCATCTATGAGCAAACCTGCTGGGACCTGGGCCAGCCCAGGTGAAGCCTGAAGAGGGCTGCAGATTTCTACTGGCAGGAAGTCAACCTTGGAAATGTACTTTCCATAGCAGAAGAATCTGATGACAAATTAAACCCGGGCTGGAGCACTCGGGAGGCATGCAGTGCTTTCTAGCCAGGAAACGTTAACCTTTTGCAGCTGATACTGTGCACTCCTCTGGTAGTGTGGAGATCTGGCCCTTCCTTTGTGCCCAAGAATGCAGCAAGTCACTTCATCCTCAGTTTCTCTTTAGATACCCTCCAGGCCTCATTTCAAGGCCATGAAGGCTACTCCAGGTCATCCTGCTTGCTTTTCTCCATGAACACTTACTTATTCCACACGTTTGGGTAAGCAGAATATCTGGATTTGCACACTATTTCACTGCTGTGTGTCTGGAGATTTCGATCTCCTCTGTCTGCTGGGCCGCAAGCTACCTGGGACAGGAACACTGACTTACCTCCTTTGTTTCTCCTATCAGCGACTATCAGAGTAAATGTGCCCCAGAATGCATCAATGGATAATTGTTCAAAGGCTAAGGGAAAGAAGACTCTCCTCTACACCACTTTGCTTCTGAGAGTGAATGAAGCCAGCAAGAGCTGATAATGACAATGTGAGGTATTTTTCAAAAGAAAACGTTTAGTTGGTTGTTGTTTGTGTTGTTCACCTACTTGGTAGGTATCCATAACAATACTTGAGTGCTAACTGGATTTCCAACCACCAGCTCCCATTGGGTCTATCTCCTCCTACAATTGGTACTTTTGTGCCCAATAATGCCTAAGGAAAGATACAGGAAATAGAGGCCAGGCAGAAAAAACTAAAGTAAAATAACACCAGAGCAGGAGTTAGGAGACCTAGTTTTTTTTTCTTGTTGCATAGAAAGAGGCAGAACAGACTGTCCTGGTTCCCTGATCAAGCTACACGCTTTGTCTCGCCAGTGTTCATGGCACCCCTCTATGTCTGGCAAAGCTACTTCTCTCCAATCCCTGCTCAGCTATAACCTCCTCTGTGAGGTCTGGCAACAGTTCCAAGCAGAATTAATCATATTCTGTCATATTCTCTTAGCATTATGTTGTAAATGGTTGTACATTAAATTGTGAAATTCATTGAGTTGCATAAAGTTACTCGAGACATTAAATAAATTCATTTTTTGTTTATTTTACTTGATTGCGAGAATAAATGAGGCACAGAGTAACCTAGCTGAAGCCCTACAACAATCATCTCAAAAGTCTAAGCAGACCCCATTGCTTCTGACTTCTGTGACCCAAGAGCCCAGTCACCTACGGCTCAGAAAAAGAAAGCCCATCAAGGGGCCTCCCTGATGCTGCAAGGGATTAAGCACAGGACTGTGAAGATATCTGCAGCCTCTGCAGCACAAGTTCGATCCCCGGCTGGCCAGGGAGTTACCCACATGGCGCAGCAGACATCTCCTGCCTCACCCGCTGTTCCCCTCAGCAGTATATGTCAGTCAGTCTGCCTGTTCTGTTCCCTACTCTGGTGAATCCTCTCACCCCCCACACCTCTGGCCTGTACCCCAGTTCTTGTATGCATAAGTAAAAAAATCTTAAAAAAAAAGAAAGTCCATCAAACATGAATGGAAAAGGAGCAGCTAGATGAGAAGTGGGTACCTGTCTGCCTCTGAGTTGATGATGGATTAGGAATCCTGGCCCATCCTGAGCATGTTATCCAGCCTCTTCTCCCAGGACAGTCTACTAAGGGGAACCCTGAAGAGTCCTCTTCACTTCCCAGTGTGGTGTTTTTTTTTTTTCCCCTACAATTGAAGTAGTATTTTAGTCAGTAGCTTATCTGGTTAAAAAGCATTAGTTATTCCATAGAGGAGCTTCATTTGAAAAGTTAATTATCCAATTGAGACGAATAACTTTAAAGCATAACTGGCTTTTATCTCCATTACATTAGAACTTGTCTTGCCTGCAAATTCTACAAAGGTAGCGACTATCTATCGCTCAGGCTTCCTTGAGCTCTAAGATCTCAGATTTGAAAGTCTTCCCTTCTGGTCACACCACCCCTGACTTCTGTGTCCTTTCCTCCCACCTGCGAGCACACTTGGAGCGCCTCAGAAACTCCAGCTCCAGCTTTTTTTCTCTTAGTCCACCTGAATCATTTGGCCCCGCTGCCATCCCAACAGAAACTGGGCCCAGTACCAGCCATTTCATTTCTATCCCCACTAGGACTCCCCTCCCTCCATTCCTTTCCTGGGTCAACCTGTTAGGGTCACCCCGTCTACACCTGTCTGCTCTCTCTTCCTCCCCAGGTGCTGTGTACTGTGACAGTGAGTCACAATGCAAGTAAGATCACTAGGAATTTAGACCTTTGAACCTCAACCTCAGACACTGTATGCATCCTGCTTTAAGCAGTGTTTAAACCAAACTTCTGATGTACGTAGGTCTGTGACCAATCTCCCAGTCAATATACCTTGAAATCAAACTGAAATTTCTTTTTTCTCTTCCTTCCCTCAAATCTCAGCCATCTAATCTTTTTATTTTTTCAGTTGTGGCCTAGCTAGACCTTAGTCCTTCTTTTCACTTCCCCTGCAGGCCTTTAAACTGCCCCAGCTACACTACGGTGATACCCTCTTAACTAACTTTGCATCCTCCAACCTCTGGCCTCAGTTCCCTCTTATTTCATTTGGCTAAAATTCAACTCTGACGCTGATAAACTGCAAAGTCGCTGGCAGCCAGCTCTCCTCACTGCCAGCTAAGACTCACAAGCCTGGGCCCTCATGCGCATCTTCAACATCACCCAGTGCGGGTTTTCATGCAGAACAAATAGAACACGTCAGGGCACACCCCGTATCAAGGATAAGTAGAGTCATGAAATTCCTGGTTCCTAAAATAAAATCTATTGCTTACCACGGGTCATGATAAAGTTTGAAAACCACTGATCTACACCATTTGCTATTATTAACCATGTCCTGTGACTTTCATTTTGAAATTATAATACCTCAAGAGTACAGAAAAGTATGAAGGATAATATAATAAATAATTGTCAGCTCTTAACATGTCATATTTCTGATTTTAAAATATATGCATGCATGTATGTCCATGTGACATGTATATGAATGCATGTCATGTGTGTATGCATGCATATCTCCAGGGCTATAAAACAGAAACAGCAGCCCGCTAAGTCTACCCATTCCTCTCCCTCCCTCTCCAGCACCATTCACATTACACTGAATTTGGCAATTTTTGTATCCATTAATCTTTTCACATGAAAACATTATGACACTGTAAAATTAGATAACTACATGTAATGATATAATAAAGACATCAAGAAATCAAATATCCATTAACAACATGTATGTTTTGGATATTTTTAACCTTTATATAAATTTTGCACTTAACATTCTGTAGCCTTCTCTCTTTCATTTAATATGTTTAATGTTTTTTCCACATTCGGATGTGATTCCCTACTTGCTTCTCCACTGAAGATTTTTCAAATACCATGACTTATTTGTTCATCCTTCTGAGCTTTATAAGCAGTGCACCATCCCAACCCAGACACATAGGTTGTTTCCAGTTATTTGCTATGACAAACAAAGGCAGCTGTGCAGTTCCTACACGTCTTCTTGGGCACATGCCCAGATGGGGATTCCTCTCCAGGTTTTTGTCAAAGTTATTCCTTTACCTGGAATGGCCTCTTTTCTAGGTCAACCTCCTGAAAACCTTGTCCATACCTGAAGGGACCTCTCGGATGTTAATTCTATGCTTTCCACTGCACCCAGTCAAAGCTGTATGTCTGTCTGTCCTCCTGCAACCTGCAGTTGTACCATTTAAAGGATACCATCACCTCTAGCTCCAACCTGAAGTTGTTTGGGTACTTTTTTTATATCTCTAGCAGATCCAAAGCTTATTAAGGGCAATTACTGTGTCACATGACATAAACCAATTCTTGTTGCCATCAGTACAGACAGGATTTATAGAAGGAATCTGTTCCTCCTCCCATTACCTAGTCCCCACGATTTTAGCAATTATTGAACAACTTTACAGTTGGGGAGAAAGTCACAAGCGGGATGTGCATTTTGAATGGCTGCTGGTGTGACTTCAGGATCCCTGGCCAGGGGACAGGATTATGGAGGTACAGAGGTGCCTGTCTACCCATCTATATTCATCTCCCCTTCAAGTTCAGTGGGGTGGGGCTGGGGGCTTGGTGAGAGACTTCTTCCTAATTCCAATGTAGAGATTCATGTTCATTATGTGATATGTATTTTTCATTAGACAAGGGAAAAGTTAAAACATGAGATGTTGAAAAATCAGTTTTTGAAAAGCCTCCAAAGCTGTAAACCTCTTTCAATTTTTTTTTTTTGTGAGGACAAAGAATTGGCTTAAATGATGGCAAGTTGATACCTGTTTATACCAGCCTATAAATTAGTAATAAAACATGCCCGGGTCACAGGATTTTTATAAGCAGCTCACCATTCCATGCCATATGATCTACCAGATAGAGAATAACTGAATAAGTACTCCCGAGCAGCCCTCCCTCGTTATGGGTTGACAGAAAGTTCAGCCTGAGTCCTGAGAAACCTAGTCATATGATGGAGTTTGAAATGCACATTGGAAATGGACTAAACAACAAGAAGAAAGCTTAGGAATAACTACAAAATCAAAGTGCTGTTGCCTCTAACTTACCAAGTTTGATTTTAGAAAGGACCAAGGATAAGAACCATATCTCTGTACTGTAACAGAATCAAGTCTCACATGACATCTGATTATACTCTGTGCCAGTGTTACCTGAGTGCCTGGATCGGTTTTCCAATTGAGTTGAAATGCTCAGTATCCTCAGTTTCTGCCTCAGCTGCCCAGGGATGTCAATTTCACAGATATATATCACTTGATCACTGCCTGGGCACTGCCATACACCACCTTTGGGTCCGGAAAGATTTAGATCTCGGTAATAGTTGCCAAGAGACAGCTCCTTCCAGTCTGCTCAAACCTCATCTTCTCCAGGTGGTTTCCCCACCACCCTGTTGACTCAATCCCACCTTTGCACTTCCCAGCACCCTAGAGCTCCTTTATTCTGCTCTACTTTTTGTTTCTGGTAGGCTTTTCACCTTGTGGCTTATATTATTTTCTTTCTCAAAATTTTTTCAATTGTACAAAATCCACCCAATATAAAGTTTACTATCATAACCATTATTAAAGGTAGAGTTTAGGGTCACCCTGGTGGCACAGGGGTTAAAGTCTTAGCTCTATCAAGTTATTGCCAGCCACTGCAGCATGAGTTCAATCCCCAGCGAGGGAGATAACCCACACAGTGCAGCAGACCTCTCCTGTCTCACCCACTGCACCCCTCAGCAGTGTATTTCAGTAGATCTGCCTGTTCTGCTCCCCACTCTGTCTCTGGTGACCCTTTTGCCTCCCACACTCTGGCCTGCACCCCAGTTCTTGTATTCATAAATAAATAAATAATAATCTAAAAAAAATAAACGTACAGTTTAGTCGCATTAAGGACATTTCCATTGCTGTGCAACCAATCTCCATCTTGCAAAACTGGAGCTCAAAACCTATTAAACAATTCCTATTTCCCTCTGTTCCAGTCTCTGGGAAACACCCTTCTACTTTCTGTCTCTATGAATTTGACCTACTTTCAATTCTTATGTGTATATACTCAGAAATGGAATTACTAGGTCATAGGTAATTCTAGTTTGTAATTTTTTGAGGAACTGCCACACTGCTTTCCATAATGGCTGCACCATTTGTATACCCACCAATAATGCACAGGAGTTACAATTGCTCCTTGTTAGCACATTTATAATTTTTAATTGTAGCCATCTTGGGTGTGAGGTTAATATATTATTCTTTTTTATTTGTTTATTGTCTTACATACCTACTCACACTGCTGGCCCAGAATGTAAGTCCCATTAGCAGAGGGATCTTTGTCTAGTTTGTTCACTAATGCACCTACAACAGTATTTGGCATACAGTAAATGCTCAGCAAAATCCATTATAAGAATGAATAAATGGATAGATGAAAGAAAGACATACTGAAAGCACACTGGCATTTAATTTCCTTTTTTCTATGTTAAAATCTCTAGCTGGCTTTGATCATTACATACACATACACACACACATTACCTTTATCCAAGCTACTCAGGACCCTTTGAAAGCAATTATCCCTTTGACAAATATTTACTGAATGTTCACTGTGTGCCATAATTATGTTTTATATTGTTCAGATAGAAATTCTGAAGCACATAGAATTTAGGTGGGGTTTTGGTTTTTTTTTTTTGAGTTCACAAGAACTCTTTAAGAAAGTCAAGGAGATAATCTGTAGTACACAGAAAACTTAGTTATTATCTGGAATAGGATATATCCAATGCCTATTTGATATCTCTCCTTGGCTGTAACAAAGACACTTGAAAAAGAGCCAAAAGAGAATTGAGCTTCTTTTGCTTCTGTCCCATCTGCCTTGCTTCTATCTCAGCAAATGGCAGCACCAAGGTGTTAACATCAGAGATATAGTTTTCCTTCACCTTAATCTGGTATTTTTCATTATCCTGTTGCCAATAATAGTTATTATAAGGACTTAACAAATACTGAATGCTTGTTCTATGATGTGAAGAGAAGTTTCAAGTTCTTTGCACATTACTCCTCATAACTCTATGAAATGAAGTACAGATAAGGAAACAGACCAATGCCTTTGTCCAAAGTCACCTAGCTAGGAAGTGGTAGAGAGTATGTACCAAAGAACTTTATTTCAGTGGCCACGCCCTGAACATCTACGCTTTTCACAAAATGCTTTGTTTCAACATCA